CGCGGTTGGTCAGTGGCAATTACCATGAAAATAAAGTAAGTGTTGTCATGGAAATGGCGTAAGATCCGCCATGTTTTTGGCGACACTTTTTGATCCCGAGCAGGTCCTCCAGTAATATAGTATAGCTCAGTGGTTCGTACCAAGTATTTCTAAAATTAACCCCAAATTTTCCAATATTTATATAAAATACGAACATTTTAGTGAAAAAGGGGTGAATTTCATCAACATGTTGTACTAGTACAGCGTTCGCACCAAGTATTTCTAAAATTAACCGCAAATTTTCCAATATTGATATAAAATACGAACATTTTGGTGAAAAGGGGGTGAATTTCACCAACATGTTGTAGTAGTACAGCGTTCGTACCAAGTATTTCAAAAAGTTACCCCAAATTTTCCAATAATATATTGATATAAAATACGAACATTTTGGTGAAAAAGGGGTGAATTTCACCAACATGTTGTACTAGTACAGCGTTCTTACCAAGTATTTCTAAAATTAACCCCAAATTTTCCAATATTTATATAAAATACGAACATTTTGGTGAAAAAGGGGTGAATTTCATCAACATGTTGTACTAGTACAGCGTTCGTACCAAGTATTTCTAAAATTAACCGCAAATTTTCCAATATTGATATAAAATACGAACATTTTGGTGAAAAAGGGGTGAATTTCATCAACATGTTGTACTAGTACAGCGTTCGTACCAAGTATTTCTAAAATTAACCGCTAATTTTCCAATATTGATATAAAATACGAACATTTTGGTGAAAAAGGGGTGAATTTCATCAACATGTCGTACTAGTACAGCGTTCGTACCAAGTATTTCTAAAATTAACCCCAAATTTTCCAATATTTATATAAAATACGAACATTTTGGTGAAAAAGGGGTGAATTTCACCAACATGTTGTACTAGTACAGCGTTCGTACCAAGTATTTCTAAAATTAACCCCAAATTTTCCAATATTTATATAAAATACGAACATTTTGGTGAAAAAGGGGTGAATTTCATCAACATGTTGTACTAGTACAGCGTTCGTACCAAGTATTTCTAAAATTAACCCCAAATTTTCCAATATTTATATAAAATACGAACATTTTGGTGAAAAAGGGGTGAATTTCATCAACATGTTGTACTAGTACTGCGTTCATACCAAGTATTTCTAAAATTAACCCCAAATTTTCCAATAT